ACACGAAGATGTGTGCATCACCATGACTATTACTGTCATGCAGAAACAAAGATTTGCAGGTGCACACAGTCAATATAAAGTGTGCCCTCAGCTTGGAAGAGGACATACTTCAGTACCAACCTACAATAGCCAGCTTTATCAGGCCTCATGGAACAACCAACCTCTCCTGTATCCTGACATAGATGTAGATAGCTAGTTGGTTCCAATCTTGACATCTCAAGCTATAGTAACAGTTAAATTGCTCACATATTCCAGTTACAGAAACCAGTAGTCCAAAATTCAATTTCATTATATACAAAAGATCAGACACTTTCTAGGCTGCCACCACATGACACTGGCTTATACTCCACGTTAACAACATTTCTCTTTAGAAAAGCAGAAGGCTAATGCCCTAAATGTGTCAAATTTACACAAGTAAAGAATAACATGTTGAGAAGATCAGCTTAAGATCCTCCCTCAGCATGCCCTCACGCCCTGTGTGGTTCAAAAATACTAACATACTTCTCTGCCATACCTCTCATTTGATCTCGCTCAAACAACAAACTCTCCACTTAAAAAACAGAAGTTGTCCTGCTCTGCAGGGGATTATACTTCGAAGTGAAGCCTGCAGGTAGGCCTGCAGGTTTCTAGAAGTCATGCTGCATGATATGCAACATGAACTGCCAGGTAACTAGATAGCTACAGCTACCACCACTACCGCACTGGTTTCCAAAACATCATCAACCAACAGAAGGTGCCATAGGTATTAGAAAAAGCTTTCTGAGGAAGATGTATACATAAAGAATTCCAGGTCCAGAATAATAAAATCATGCCTTCAGAATAAAACTTCATTAAATAAGTCAGTTCTTCCTAAGAGAAAGTAAGTGTGCCAATTAAGCAAAACCCCTGTTACAGGGAAGAACTGCCAGCAGCACAAGTTATTTTAGCTGACATTACTTCAGAAAAAGCCCACCATTCACCATCTGTTCTGGCACAAATTTTGAATGCTAAGAAACTTTCCAACATGACTGATGAAAAGAAAGCAGTCAAGATGCAGAAGTTTTTGTTTTGGTGTTAAAAAGAACAAGCATCTAGGACAACTCGCATTGCAGCAAGAAAAAACACAGAAGTATTGCACATTTCATAAAAATCATTACAGAGAATTACAATAAAGCAGAGTGTAAATGGAAGACACATAAGAGATATAACACAACAAATAAAAACTGCTTACAAAATTTACATGAGAAGCAGGTGGGCAACTCCAGACAGCGGGTCAACATTTACACTTCAGCTAGTAAGCATGTCTACAAAGCTTTTTCCGAGCTTATTTGGGAACAAGACTAGACCTTTTCTAAGCTAAAGGCTCCATCAGCCTTTTAAGTACAAGACTAACCATCAAAAATCCTGTTCCCTTCAGACACAGAAAATAAAGGCCAATGTGTAACAAGGAAGCCAAAGGAATCAATATAGCACAGGGAGAATGAAAGGCCAGGGAGATGCTGTTACCTATGTTAAACACCCAACGACCACACCAAGATAAACCATCTTCTCCAACACACAACTCATAACTGAAGTGGAAACTACAGCAAAAATAAGAAGATATGAAAGAGTGATAAAGAACACAGATAAAGAAAAATACATAATTCATCCATCTCAATATTTGTAGTTTCAGAAGCAGTAAGAAATTCTTAATGCCTTTCTGCAAACCATCAGTGAGATCTCACTTAGAAGACTACTTGAAATTTTACTTCTCCACTCTTGTAAAAAAGCTCAATTACTAGAACAGTTAAAGAAAGAAAATTCCCATGGGAATTGAAAGCTCATTGTGAAATAAGGCTTGTTTAACCCAGCAAAACAATTAGTTTTAAGAGAATATGACTACTTGCTATAAATACACTAATGAAAACATCACAGAAGAAACAGAGGAGCTACCTAAGTCAAGGAGAACAAAATAAAAAGCATAAAACCAAACCTTTCAAGTTTCACCATTCCTCTGGAAATCAGAGGTCTGAAGTTTGAACACAGCCTTTAACAAAGAGCTACCTAACATTTCAGTTCCTTCGAAATGTTTTAAGAGTTCACAGAAGGGATTATACCAATACTATAAGGATAGAAAATGACATCAGGTAGGTAGAATGCTATTCTGGTGCCATCCTCCATATTGATAATGAATATAATATATTTTTCTATTCAACCTCTAGGGAAAAAAAAAATTACTTTCCTATTTCCTCCCCCTAGTTTTGTCTAGCATAAAAAAAATAGGAAAAAAACCACCCCGAGGAAAAGCACTATATGAAATTTGCTAACCAAGAGGAGATTAAGCATTCTATACAAAACTGTCTGAAGATTATGGGTTAGAACTATCTGGTCCATCCTTGTGATAAAGTTTAGACAGAAAGAGATGAACATTTTTGTGCCACATAGTCAACAGATTTATTTCTCCCCCATCTGAACCACAAAATCAGTATGTCATTGCAATTTATGAATGAGCTAAACATTTGGGGCACTTTTTTAATAGTCTGGAAAATAAGGCTCAAAAAATCCCTTACAAGCTCTTTCTTAGAAAAACGCCAAGTGACAGATGGAGTTTTAGCGTTTGTCATGACACCAGATGATGCTTTATGTGAAGTCATGCAATACCTCTTAAATAGTTATTTCAAAAAATTCTAGTTTATGTTGCAAAAAGGTTTACTAGTAATTTAATATCGGTTATATTTTGTTTCTTAATGGAAGAATGAAAACAAAGACAACTGAATAACACTACCTCAAAACTCTAGGTAGTATGCTGAACACATGAGCTAGGATTCCTAGAATAAACAACCTGAACTACTTTCTGACCTCAAAAAACCCCACCTTTTTTTGAATGAATTGTTTTTGAAAAAAATAAAAATAAAAATCTCCAGAATGGAGAGCCACCCCCCAGGAATATCTGGACAGGCTGGAGGTGCGGGCTAACAAGAACCTGATGAAGTTCAACAGGGACAAGTGTAGGGTCTTGCACCTTGGAACACATAACCCAGGAATGCAACTCAGACTGGGATCCACCTGGCTGGAGAGCAGCGCTACGAAAGGGACCTGGGGGTCTTGGTGGACAGCCAGCTCAGCATGAGTGAAGCGTGTGCTGCAGCAGAGGCGGCGGGCAGGATGCTGGGCTGCATTAACAAGGGCATCCCCAGCAGGGGTAGGGAAGTCATTGTCCCACTTGACTCGGCCCTGGTCAGGCAGCACCTCGAGCACTGCATTCAGTTTTGGTCTCTGCTATACAAAAAAAGATACGGACAGGCTGGAAAGGGTCCAGAAAAGGACCACAGGGATGATCAGGGGACTTAAACACCTGCTGTATGAACAAGGTCTGAAAAATCTGGGTTTGTTCAGCCTTGAGAAGAGAAGGCTTAGGGGAGACCTTGGTACCATGTACCAGTATTTGAAGGATGGCTACCAAAAGGATGGAGACTCCCTTTTTACAAGGAGTCACATGGAAAATAGAAGGGGGAATGGTTGCAAGTTGCTCCTGGGGAGATTCCAATTGGAATCCAGAAAAAAAAAAAATTTCTTCAGGAACAGTTAAACATTGGAATAGTCTCCCAAGGGAAATGGTGGATACCCCTACAATGGACCATTTTAAGATTCAGCTCAACAGGGTGCTGGGCCATCTCACTTAAACTATATACTGTTTGTTTTGTTGTTGGTTTTTTTTTTTTTTTTTATATATCTATAGCTTTTTTTTACCTTGAAAGGTTGGACCAGATGATCCTTGAGGTCCCTTCCACCCTGGCATTCTATGATTTTTATAGTTACTGTGCATCCTTTCACTTCTACAGTTTTTATACTGACAAGCTTAAAATGTTTCAACATTTCCACTTCACTATAATCTTCCTTTCTTTTTTCCTTTGGTCTTCCTTTCCCTCCCTACAGGGATATTTAAACAGAACCTATTTAGGAAGTCATTTAAGTCATTTCAAGTCACTACCACCTTAAACAGATAAATTACAGCATAGAAATCTGGGTTTGGTATAACAACACTGTTCGGTTTCTCATAAAGCAGCCCTAAAGTTGTGCAAGATTCAAGAACAAATCTTCAGACATAATAAGTTAATTTTCCCTTCACCAAATCAATTTCTGAATTAATCTAGAAACAACACTGTTTACAATGAAGCAGATTCTTTCCTTAAAATATTCCTTAAGTATTTAAAGTCCAGAGGAATTAAAGACTTGGGGAAGAACATTTTATCAAATATGAAAAAGCTTAATTTATATTCAAGATACTACTTTATGTCCAAATTACGAGTGCGAACTAGAAGTAATGCATGGATTTAGGAAAGTGTTTAGTGCCATCTATTCATCAGATTTATGTAGGTATGCAGATGGCAAAAACCTTAATGAGGGTTCTGCATTAGTTTTGTAGCATCTGTCCTACTTACCAGCTGATCAAAAGAGCATTTGTTTGAGAGCATTCAACTCACTTCAACAAAAGCAGGCAAATATTAGCCAAAAAGAGAGATAATCTGTTTGAGGGCCTCTTTTCCCCATTTGTGTATGCAGCAATTCCCACTGACAGCACTGTAAAGTCATAGAAAACTAAACAAATTTATTGTTATCAAATTCAGAGCAGGAAACAAGAGCAATACTCCAAAACCTAGCTTTATTTCTTCAGTTTTGGGAGTACAGCTTTATCACGTGCAATTATGAAATATGTCCTTCACAGATGTACATTAGCCTAGCAAAAATCTGAGTCTCTTAGCATAGTTGAGGACAAAAACGCTGCACTCCAGAAGAACATGAGAGCAAAGCCTTCCCAGCACACCTTTTTACTGCAGACAAATCCCTGGAGCAAATCTCCAAAGTCTGCAGAGACCAAATCGAAACATGCTTTATCTTTTCACAACAGGGACCTTTCATCAATTCTGCTAGCCAGCCAAAGTGACCTTCCAGAGCCTAGGCCAGGCTGACAAGAGACGCAGACAGATGGGTACACACAACCATTGCTATAAAAGATATTTAAGAAAATACTTTTAGCTTACCGTTACAGACTTCAGAGTCATTCCGTGATAGGTGCCCATGGTATCAATTTTAAAGCCTTCCGTCTCTGCAAAGGAAAAAAGGTCTCTTGTAAATCATTATCAACACAAGGACGCCGTGTCTAAATGGACAACACTGGACATATCAATTATTTTCACAAAAAATGCATCTTGTTATTGGCAGTGGTTTTGGCTCTGTTCACAATACAAAACCTGGTTAGTAATTAGGAAATCGGTGGTTTCTTTAGACAGTGGTCTATTGGGTATTTCTGCGTTCTGTAACCAGAGTAAGCTTTTCCTGTTGTATGAAATCACTCCAGAGAAAGCATATAAACTTAAATCTTTGTGAGAATATGTTACAACATGCACGCAGTCTTGGAAATTCTCTTCACTACAAAATAGAGAAGTACCTCATACTCCCAGAACGCATTAAAAAGCAACATTTTCAACTTGTATTAGTGGAAAAATATACTTATTAAGAAGTTGGTTTACATGTTGACTGTAAAACCATGGCCACATAACATTATAAATTCATTTCTGGAGTGCAGAAGAGAACAACATCACTGTCATATAATACAATGGATAGAATCTGCATAAATTCACATTACTAGATTAAAGGTTATAAAAAGGGTTGTTTTGGTGTTTGGTTTTGTTGGTTTTTTTTTTTTTTTGGTGGTTTTTTTTGTGTTGTTTTTTTTTTTTTTCCTATCTTTTTTGTTTGCTTCATCATTTAGATCTTTTTCAGCAGTTTTAATCAGACCGAATTTATGCTGAGTGCCAGAAACCTGCAAGTGGTCAGTGACTAAGCCTGCTGCCACCAGTCTGTTCACTTTTCAGTACTCCTCCTCTGTCCTCCTACTCTCAGCGCTCTAAGAGCAAAGTCAGCTCAGGAATTTTGCCACCAGGACTTGCAAGAAAACCTTTTTTCTTTTGCAAGTTCCCTAGCCTCATGCATCTATTGTCAACTGACCCCATCAACCAATCATTCAATTAATTCATATTTACAATGCCATGGTGATCACCAATCAAACCATGGTAAGAAAGCATTTGTCTACACCTAAGCAGCTTTTGGGCTATTTCAAATATGCTTAGGTAAAGGTAATTTACATGGTGCAGAAACAGCTAGTCAGAATTGGAAGATTTTGCCACTTATTACAACACCTTCACACAATGCATCAGTACAAAAACATAATACACCAAAAACATTTCAGAATCAAAGCAATGCTCATACCTGAACCTACAAAACGTCAAAGATAAATACTAGACTTTATCATGAGTAAATTAACTTAAATTGAAACACAGAAAAATGTTTAAAACAATGCATATGCTCTGGGAATCATCTACGGTTGTTTATCTGCTCTTCCTTAGATGAGGAAGGTTATCAGAAACTTGTAGGAAATCAGGCAGAAAAGTTCCCCTGATTTAGTAATTCTCCAGTGTCTACAAAAAGATACCCAAAAGTTGAAAATTTCATCATATACGACTCATAGCATTGACAGATAATCCACCTTCTGAACACTGGTTTTGGTTTTACCTTGTCCCCCTTGACTATGCTACCAGACCTAACACCAACTATCAAGTGGAGAGTTCTAGTGTTACTGACCACATTTTACTTTACACAGAAGTCACCTCAGCTCCAGCCCATCTTCATCTTGGCTCCTCAAGGCCACCTCTCCCCTTTTGCTGGTTTTAACATTTCTGAGCTATACAGAGTTGTCTCCAAGAAAGCAAAATGCAGGTACAGACAGACATGAATGCAGTCTTTCTACTAATTAAAAGGAAAAAAAAAGAATAAAAAGAAGCCTAGCTTCCCTTTATAAATTGATATTGCCTTACTGACTTTCTACCCAAGCCCAAGATGCAATTATGCATTGAGTCTTAGCTCAGGGCTCCTACAGCTGGACTTGAGCTAAACAGAGTGACGCTGCACCCAATCAACACTTTGATGCCTAACAGTTTTCTCTGTAACTATATAGGTCAACGTTTCTGGGCAAGGAGCACATTAATATTTCAGAATACTTGGTAGAGCTCCCCTAAGTTGAAGAGATGCTTTTGCTGACTTAGAGTGACACAAATCTGAGGTGTATAATCTAGGCTGACACTTATTTATAAATTTCAGAACTTCAACAACAGAGGAACCTTTCCCCTTTCCAAACTAACCTAGTTTGGGTTCCTCTTGCCAGTGACATGGAAAATTTCCAACTATTTCTATCAGATGTTATTCCCAAACTCCACAGAATACAGACACCCCTTAACAAGGTCAGCAAAGCAGGCCCTGTTGTGCCTGGCCTGCCACAGTTTGCTTCCACTCAGCACAAATCTTGGTTCTATAATCAGTTCTACATGTTTGTACCCTGTTTCAGCTAATTCTTTCCACTTTTCCCTAATAAAACTTTACATTCCTCTCAAATAATTAAAACAAACCACTAGCTCAGGTCTCCATCAGCATTGCAAAGGGAATAAAGGCCCACAGAGCCAGCAGCAGAGTTAGGAAGCAAAGCAAAGGGGAGAGAGGCAGCTGGCAGGGACAAGCCTGTACTTGTTTCATCTGCCAGTTGTTTCATCTTTCACAACAATCTTCCAAAGCCTCTAAAAGAACCCTGTTCTTTTATAAGACTTACATCCTGGTTCATATTTTGTGAGCCACAAGAGCCACTAAGCAGAGCTCTGGCTCTCACCAGCTTCCTGATCTCAGGCTTGTGCTGACCCTTCCTCCTAGCAGGAAAACAGCTCAGATCTGACAGAGGCACCGGTGGCCTCAAGCATTAGACCGGCTGAACGCTGCCAGCAGCTACATAGGCCTTCCAATGCTATTTAATAGTAGCAAATAAAAGGGTTCTGATAATCTGTAAATAACAGCATAGTCCTTTTCCTTAGTAACATAAATCTAAGGGATGCTAAATGGACAAGGTAGGAGACAGGTACCCACTTACGTTCCTGCAAAGTTACTGCAGCCACTATGAGGCTGACTGCAGGCTCCAGCATCCATTACCTGCAAGTAGGATAGGAGGAGTAGAAGAAATCACCTCCCAAACTTCCCACCAGCTACCAGGTTTCCTGGCTGAAACTCTGAAGCCATTGCTGAATGAGACTTAAGCATCTCCAGCTTCCAGATAACCACAGCAATTCTCCTCTAACTGGCAACAGCACACTGCTCAGAATACAGTTTTTTTAACCTTAACCTAGCACACTCACATTCATGTGATATTCTAACAGTCAGCCACTCACTTTTCTCTACAGAAATAAATGCTGCTACAAGTGAGAGCTCTGCCACTTGCACTTTTGTGCCTTTCTAGAAGGTCTCAACAGTTTGCACACTTAGCCACATATGGTAGTATGTTCAGCTCCACTCAATGAGCGTAGCCTGCGTAAAGCAGAACACAAATGCATCCAAGTCAGGGACTCCACAGTTATGGCTGCATTCCCACTTCAGAAACTGCTGAGAGTGTTAGCCAGGTTAATGCAGCTGGCTGTAAAAGATGTTCAAGGACCAGGCTAGAAAGCAGAGAGGCACTTCTTCCAGAGCATTCTCTGAAGGTAGTGGCTGACCCTGATGCAGCTGCTCAAAAGCAGACCTGGGATACAAGAGGAACCACAGGCCACAATAAAGAGGAGCAGAACAGCAATGTGGAGCACCAGGAGACATTCCCCCAGCAAACCTCAGTGTAAATGCTGTACCATACCCTCTGACTAAGAACACAGAAGTAAGATGTTTCTCACCTCTCTCCCAAAGCGGTTCAAACCTGTGCTCCCAAGTTGTGCACCAGCACAGAGACAAAATACTAATACCTTACCAAGAATTAGTTTCTAACTCCAGTTTCAAAATCACAGCTTCACCGATAGTAATAGGGGAAGCAGCTAAAATTATGAGCCATCCACTAAGGAAAGGGTATTGAAGAAGAAAAGGGCCTTTTAGAAGTACCGCAATGGCAAGACTTTGGACCTTTATTTTTAAACTTAAAATTAGATGGAGAACAACTGTTAAAAACACTTACTTGAAAGCCTTCAATACATAGGGATTTTTCAATAAAATTACAACGAAGTTATCATGCAAACTTCCTTTAGACAAAAAGCAGTCCATATTAAATTACGCCTTAGTGTAGACCTGAATTTGAGGTAAGAATGAAAGCAAAGCCCAACAAGGTATTGTGACAAACTGTACTGCAACTTCTTCTGTTTTATAAGCATTAAAACATCAACAAATGCCTTAAAAACTACATTTTAAGACTACATACAGAAACTAGTACTGAATAATGACTTCTAACACTTCAAAAACAAACCATCATCAGTTAACATTAAGGCCATCTTTTCTTCTCCAGTCACAGCATGTATTACAATCACAATTTCACAGTTCAATGACCCAAAGACTGTCAAAAGAACCACGCACTTTGAGTGTGGTTCATCACTAGCTGCCTTTCTAGCACCACCATTCATCAGCCTGAGTGCCCTCTCTCACTTGAAAGAATTAGACCTGCTAATAAAAATATGCAACCTAATGCATCAGCTTATTGGACTGTTTATATTCTCGGTCACCACTCAGGCCTGTGTTCCATTTTCTTCCATATAGGTATTAATGATCAAAGTGTCTTCCATTTGCTTAAAAAGTCCACTTCTCACCATCCATCTAGGTCACCCTTCGTTTTGATACTGCATCTGCTGTGGCTCCAGCCACCCAATCTGACTGCAAACTTGAGCACTGATACATTACCAAAAGAATAACAGCTTTAAGAAGACCCAAACTAGCCTAAATTTCTGGAAGGCAGACTAGGCAAACTTGAAAAAGAACCAAGAAGCACATCTCTAAAACACTGAAAAGCTCAAGCTAAATGCTTTGCATAAACTGTGGATGATAAAAGATTAAATAACCACTTCTTTTTTTCAGCTGTATACTCTTCAAACCTAAGATAGCAACAGCTCTGCAGTGTGCCTGGAAATCATTCACTATTCCACTTCACATTCATGGTAATTAAATCACTGACACCAAATTTCATTCCACGTAAGAGTTTACTGAGCACTCCTTTTCAGTACTATATCCTAAGCAGTAAAAGTTAAGTCTCACACCTAAACT